CTCCTGGATCTTTACGTTCGAGCGCCAATGCTCCTAATTACGCCGCATGTGATGCGTGCGGCGACCTCTTCTCTCCACGGACAAAGCACTCTTGCCAACCAGGACCTGCATCCTCCCCATCGCCCCCCGGATTGCTGCATTCACCGATAGTGGAAGAGGATGACGGACAGCCACTTCTATTACCGTGGAACCTCAACGACGTCAGCAACGCCCTGGATCAGGTTCGACAAGATACTCTTGAATCGTCATTTTTTTCGACAGTCAAACACGTCGATCCGCAGATGGCGAAAGTATTTTGTAAGCACCTCCAACATGTCCTCATTCTCTTTGTCCGAGCATTTGGAGCGGTTCATATGGACCAACAGGAATTGGATACCTCTAACATGTCTCCTCTCGCAGCGGAAAGATGCATGGCAGCACGTGTTGAAAGACAGCTCCAACTTGTCCGAGCGACCAAGCTGCTTCATCTTACCCCAGCGTTGCACGGATCGACTGACGGACGGATGAATAGGGTCTCCCGATTCAACCGCTTCGCAAGTGGTGACCTTAGTGAGCCTATCGCCTGGCTCCTGCTGTACGAGAAGAATCGTAGACTTCAGGTGTATGCAGACACAGAAAGTAATCGCCAGAGGAGAGCCACACGTCTTACGCATGAACGAGGAGGGNCACATGTCCTCATTTTTTTTGTCCGAGCATTTGGAGCGGTTTATATGGACCAACAGGAATTGGATACCTCTAACATGTCTCCTCTCGCAGCGGAAAGATGCATGGCAGCACGTGTTGAAAGACAGCTCCAACTTGTCCGAGCGACCAAGCTGCTTCATCTTACCCCAGCGTTGCACGGATCGACTGACGGACGGATGAATAGGGTCTCCCGATTCAACCGCTTCGCAAGTGGTGACCTTAGTGAGCCTATCGCCTGGCTCCTGCTGTACGAGAAGAATGGTAGACTTCAGGTGTATGCAGACACAGAAAGTAATCGCCAGAGGAGAGCCACACGTCTTACGCATGAACGAGGAGGGATTACAAAAGCTGCTAGGGCCTTGATCTCCCCAGCACCATCTCCGCGCAACAACGTCACATTGGAGCACCTCCGAAATTTACTCTCTGATAAAGATCCTGAAGATATCGTGTGCGTGTGTGTGTATGTCTTTTGTTGCGGAACATGTGGCTTGACTACAATATACAAAGGGCGACCTCGGTGGACGAATCCAACAAACGTCCAATGCCTCCCTTTCTTTGCACAGCAGTGGCGGCACTGCTGTAGGCTAGGTCGGGTAAGGTACGGGTGCGTTTGGTAACGAACGGGGAGTTGTAACGAGCCTTACACCAAGGAGTCTGGCGAGGAACACGAAGACATTCCAAGCGCACCAAACAGCAGTATCAGCAGGTAGACTACAGCCAGTACGCTTGCATGCTGCTGCTGTTGTAGCACTACAGTACGTCGCAGCATGGAGGCGTGCCGTCTTGTCTGCAAGGCCCCCTTTCCGGGAGTTAGGTGGCTTGCCTCCCGGGGGGGACGCAAGGGGACACGGCTAATGTCTTCACGGTTGCATTGCTGCATCTCAACGTTCGGTAGTGCCGGTTGTCCGTACAAACTGCAGAATTTTGCGTGATGTGCGGGGTATATTTTTTTCTCACCGTGACTGTAAGCGCGGCCGTGAGTGTGTGCTGTGTACGCTATTAATAGGGGCATTTGCCGCAGATCCTACTGCTGTGGCACGCTGTGTTTGATCGCTCGGTCTCATGTATCTGTACCATGTTGCTCGTGGCGTGTGGGAACACCTATGTGCGTTACGCAGGAATCAAATGTAGAAGTTTTTTTATTGTTCGGAATGCCTCCCCGCAAAATAGAGCCAGTCGGGGCGACTACAGGCGTATGCCGGCGGGAACAGTCGGAGAGATGGCACCCCCGACTTAGTGTTTTTTGATAGCGTATTTCTCCACAATCAGGGGGGTAACACTGCAGAAAAGAGTAGTTTTGGAAACACCTCGTCGAGATCTTTCCTGAGAGGTATCGGTTGGTGTTCTCATCCTCATGGTGTGCACGCAATTAAAAAACGCGGACACGGGGGTGCCATCTCTCCGACTATTACGGTACTCGGGCATGCGCAGTGTTGCACCGACGGCCCTTGTGCGTGCCCATGCGAAGTAATCGTGTCAAAAGGTCCGCTGCCGTGGTAAGCCGAAGCACGAAAAACATCGAAATCGTACGTGTCAGAATCGTTACGAGTACATGGAATCCCTCTGGAGTGGGCTCTGGTGAGCACGGCAGTGTCATCAACGGGTGTGATGAAAGATGAAATAGAGCAGGCAGGCAGGACCAACCCACAGCTGGCTGCCAGCTGTGGTGTGACGTTCCCACGCTCAAAAGCTCACATATTTGACGTGTTTGTGACTCGAACAGTCCAGCGAACCTCAACGAACCCCAAAAGACCGATTTTCAGAACTGTTTTAGTCTTACATGGTGTACAATCTGCCAACCGCAACTGGAGGGTGAACTACCCAACTAGACGTTGTCATCAAACCTAGGCGTCTTGGCGGAATTTAAAGGGAGTCGGCAAGGGAGGTTCGTACCGCCCGCGTGCACAAAGGTCTCATATCATTGTAGCCAAGGGAACGGGGCCGACGCCGGGGTGGGGGCTCGATGTATGCCAGGAAAGTTCCAAATTTCACTGTAGAAACAAACGTCAAAATGTTTATTAGGGATGTTGGGGTACCTGGATACAAGATCCGATCTTGAGAGTACATGTGGGGGGGGGCACGTTATTGTGAGTCCAAGTGCGGGGCCCCTCGAGAGAGAGCACATTGAAGAGCACGCACATGTGTTCACTGCTCTATCTCTATGTTGTGTTGGAAGGAGCACTGTTGTGTGTGATGATCAAGGTTCATGCATCGGTCCTGCGTTGACTTAGTCCCCGGACATGCTTCATTATACCGTGGGTGGGCACGGTAACCTCCGTGGGTAGGCACGGGGGCCACAAACAAGGGGAAGAGAAAAAGGCGTACTTGCTGTAGTCAAGTGAGTCCAAGTATGTTCATCAATCTCTTATTCAATGCGCACGAAATTGCCTGTTCTACATAAGTAGCTGTCCCGTCGAGCCTGTTGAATCCGGAGGGGTATCACTAGGTACCGTTGTGCGAGTACGTGCATGCGTATGAACAGCAGGTGTAGTATAACGGTATGCACCCTCATAGTCCACATGTGATATGAATCCATGGCGTGTATGCTGGGTTTCGTATCATGACTTGGTTTCGCAACGGACAAAAGGACTCAGAAACATGGAATCGTATGCGCCGCGCTCCGGCCACGACACGTATATGCTTAACATCAACGTACAAGCAACGCAGTAGCAACAACACCGCCACCAACAGCAACCGAACTAATCGCGAGCAGGGATTTCCAGTGCGTACGACGATCAGTACCCCCCGGAGCTGGATGGCTGGATGACCACGGAGGAGTGGTTCGAGTGTATTGGGAGAATAAACAGGTGAGCACGCCTGCCTGCTGCTAAATTTAGGGCGACACCAAGCGAGGGAGAAAAATCGTTGTCGCGGCGGCGGTGGCGGCCGCGCACGTCGTACTTGCTTGACACTACGGCTAGCCAGACCGTACAGGAAGCCTCGGCGACACACTCTCACACTCCGAGGACAGCTGCAGCGGCAGCGGCAGCAGCAGCCGCAGCAGCAAGGAGCATGGCAAACGGCCGGCGGGTTTAAAATTCATGTGCGACGGGCTTCATGTGCTGCTGTTGGCCTGCAGTTTGAAGCGCCTGTGTTATGGTCTATAATAGTTCGCGTGTGCAGCCACGCGCTCTCCTGCTGGAAACGGAGACTCAGGGGGGTGGCCGCGTCCTGAACGTACCGTCTGTCTTTGAACACACACACACACACACATCCGGAGAATAGCTTAGCCTCCCCCATGCCGCCCCCGCACGGGGTCCCAGTCCGTGGCATATATAAGTTTTTGGTGTTCACAACCGGAGAGACTGACGTACTTTCATTTGCCAGCCGATTAGCGCGGTCGATGCTTTAAGTAGCCACCCACACACACGCCGCTAACCGCTTCGGGCAGCAGTACGGTGGCGTTCCAGCAGGAGATGATGAAGTCAGTATCCCGCCATGCCCTTGTCCGACGACGACAGTCGGTGCCATTGCTTGCGTCGGTTGGTGCCTACTGGTCGCTCTTTCTCCGTTCCAGCCCCGTCGCTCGACTAGCTTACGCAGTCTTACGTTTCGAAAACTTCGCGCAATCATAACTGTATTTGCTCTTGTTGTCGGTTTTGGGTCGCGGAACGGGGTAGTGCCTTCAATAACCCTCGTCAAATGACAGTAGCACAGCAGGTCCAACAAATTCTATTTTCGTGGTTGCTCTGGCGTTTTTGATGCATTTATGCGCCAGATATAATGTGTGTTGTATTGCCTGATTCTCTTTGCTGCGCCCACCCAACACAGGGCGTTGATGGATCGATTCCCGTGCGGGTTGTGTCGCCTACAGGCGTACTGCTTCTGTCCCTGCACCTTGGGCCTTTCTCTGCTGAGCATGAGGAAGGAGGCCAAGGAAATTGAGCGAGGTAATTTTGTACGAAGACAAGCAAAACCCAATCGAAGCAGCGTTTGTTTTCTCCGTTTTCCCCTGGTCACACGTTTTCCCTGTTCACATTTTTTTTTGTTTTTCGACCCTGCATGCATTACAGCAATTCGCTGTCGTTTATATTTTTTGTTGCATATGTTTTTAGGTCAAGGACCCTTCCTCCCTCCCTTGCTGAATTTTCTCTGGTGTGCCCACTTGCGGGGGCCTCTCGCTGTATTGTAGCGTTTTCTGCCGTTGCATGTCTCGCTGCAAGACCGACGCCTATCAACGGCCAGCAGCCGGTTAGCGCTGCGGATGCCGCCAAACCCGAGAGACACGAGAGGACCCACCTCAAGCAATGAAGCACCACTAGCGCAATCACAAGCACGGTCACGAAACGAGATAAACGTCGATCATGCACACACCAACACCAAGACATAATGTGAATCGCACCGTTTTCGGATGTGTAGGGGTTGGGGAGGTGGTCAAGACCGTAAACCAGAACCTCGAGGCGAGGAGAAGGTCCGTCCGCTTCGGCTTCCACCGCACCTTCTGCTCGGCGTGGGTGCAGGTGGAGTACGGGTCAAAGGTGGGGGCTCTGCCACCACCCCTATTGCCAGCAGCAGCTGGCGACTCAGCACGGGGCTCGTCACTGGCGGGGTCACCAACTGCTGTCGGGGGTTCGGGCGCCACCACAGACCCTAGCCGCGAGCGGGAGCAGCCGTACAGCGCTGATGAGGGGGGAGGAGTCCGAAAAGCTGCTCCAACGACGGTGGCGGCGATGACTAGCGGGGCGATGCAGCCGCTCGGAGAAGCGCTACTGGAGCCAGGGAACGCGGCAGAAGAGGCACGCGGGTATTAGTATACAGGGATACCGGCCCGCCACAGCAGCGACAAAAGCATCTGGTCAAGAATTTGGGATCAATTTTTCCCGGCCATTAGGAGGTTGGGTTAAGAAACCCAGCTCAGCGGGTGGATCCTGCACGACATCGCCCGCGGTAATTATCAGTCAATGCTTGATGGTTGCGATGAAATTCGAAACCTGTCAGTGGAATATAGGTGAAAACGTTGTGTAGTTGTAGCAGTAAACCAATAAAGCTGACCCTCGACCCGAAACTGGTTTCTTTTTAGTTCGCCGTTGGTGGTACTGCTGTAGTGGGAGTAGTATTGTGGCCGTTTTTGCTGGCTCTCTCGATGCTCACGACTGCGTGCCTCCTGTATTGGTGAAGGGGCTGCTGTCTCTTTGGACGTAGAAAGACCAAGAAGCGCGAGGACGCATGGGTGGACGACAATCCACGGGGACTAACCCTGGAGAGGTACTTCCAAGGTAGCAGGGGCAAGTTTTCTCTTTTTCCCTTTCCACGCCGAGGATACTTTCAACCTTACTTCAACGTGATGGATGTCTATGTATATCTATTAATAGCTGTCTTCTTTATTCCTAACTTGTGGGAGGGATCGGATTTCTCAGTCGCAGAAGGTGCATGACAAATCAACAAGCGTGGTGGCGGTGTGATCTGAAGCCGCGGGGTTGTGGGCGGGTTACATCATGGTCGCGGCTCCAGCTGGTCGATTTTCTTTTTTTTTTGCCATGGTGCAGCTGGCTGCCGCCGTTCGGCATTTTTCTCGATCGAGTTTTGCGGGGTGTTGGGGCTGAGGTTGCTGGGTGTACAGTTAGCGAAGACTTGGCAGTCGAGAATGAAGCCTCGAGAAACTACAATTAGTTTGGAAGAACATTGTTGAGGTCGGTGAAAAACCCGCGCATAAACCTACTCAAGTAGCGGCCCTTCGTAGGATAGCGCTGTGGACTACTTGAGAACCCCAGCGTCGGCCAACTAGACGTTCTTAAGGGCGGGCGTTCCGTGCATGTGTGTAATGTAATGTGTTGTCGACGATGGAAGGAGGTTTTGTCAAAGGGTGTCACTGAAAGTGGGTCTCCTGCCAGGCAGACGTCCCCCCCGCGCTCCGGTGTTTGCCATCGGGATTGGGTGTTCGTCGCTTGGCAACGACGTTGTAAAACAAGCCAATTCACTTCGTGAACTCGGCGACCAGGTTACCGTTGTTTCTTTATATCTCTTTTTTTTGCTGTAGCCATTATGGTGGTCGAGTAGATCATGTTGTGCGGGGTGGAGAAGCCTCACTCCGCGCAAGGGGGATGATCGCACCACGTTGTATTCAAATGGTCAAGCACCCTCGAGGCAGTTACACAGTGCT